CCACCTCTCTCTCTCACTCTGTCCCTCTCTGGTCAAATTAAAATAAATAAATAAAGTTAAATAAAGTAAGTTTTGTTTTTTTTTAAACTCTCTAAAAAAAGTAAAATAAAATTTTAAAAAGATACAATACAGAGGGAAGCAGTAGAGCATGTTTCTTTGTTTCTGTTTAAGGAACAGCTTTATTGAGATATACCCCATGATTCACCTACTTAAAGCACACAGCTCAAGCGCTGCTGAGCATATTCACAGAGCTCTCAGCCGTCACCACGATCACGCTGACAGCCTCTCTCATCACCCCACAAAAGAAAGCTCTGCCCATCAGCAGTCCCTTCCCATGTCCCTCCAAGCCTGCCCACCCTTACTCCTAGGCAACCACAGATCTGCTTTCCGTCTCGATGGGTCTGTCTATTCTGGACGTTTCATGTAAATGGGATTATACGATACGTGATCTGTGACTGGCTTTTTTTTTGCTTAGCATAATGTTTGAGGTTAAGCCACATTGTAAGTATATATTCAACTTATTTCTTTCATAGCAAAACAATACTCCATTACATGGCTCTGTCTCACTGTATTCACCCATCCATCGGCTGACGGGCATTTGGGTTTTCTCACCCTTCTCGGCTGTTGAGCAATGCTGCCATGAACACGCACGGCCTGGTGTTGGTGTGGGCATGTTTTTGGTTCTCTGAGGGTAGTCTAGGAGCGAACGGCCGGGCTGTCTGGTAAACTCTGCATTTACACTTTAGGGTGTTTGGAAGGGAAGTAACCCAATCAGTTTATTTTGGGGACATTCTGATGCTACTGAGGCGTGGCCCAAAGGGAGCAAGAGTAGAAAAGGAGCGAGTGGACAGGTGTGGAAGCACAGCCAGCCGACAGGGCAAGTGGGCACTTGGTGTCCTCTTCTGTCACCTCCTGGACCTTGGTTCTACAGCGCCTTCTTTTCATTTCCTCCCCACCCCGTCAAGGTGATTCCTCCCACGTTTTACTTCTAGGCAGGCTCTCCCCTCCGACCTGACAGGCACCTCCACCTCCCATGTCTCCCAGACACACATTCAGAATGGAACCTGGATCTTCTTGCAGACATCCCTGACCTGGCTGTTTCCTCTCCAGTCACCACCACCTCAGTGCCTGGTAACTACCAGAAGAACCCAGCAGTCTTGCAGATCTGGGGTCTCAGGACCTTGAAGAGCCTTTCAGGGAAGGGGCATGTCATGTGTCACTCACCGTTTTCCACCTTGGTGCGGAGCTTGCCCTGTTTGGGATTCTCAAAGACAGGATAGTGGCGGGAATCCGTGTTCTCCATAGCACGGTCGCTGCAGGACTTGTCAAAGAGGGCGCCGTCCCCACAGGGAGCAGTGCTGCAAAACAGGCCCCCGTTAAAACTTGCCTATGCAGACTTCCCTCCGATTTCCTGGGCTGGGAAACAGATGCGGCAGAAGTGAGGGATGTTTTCGGGAGCCTACCATGGGGAACTGGAGGCGGGCAGCAGTGTGAGACCGTTCTGCATGGGGCACGGACCTCAGCCCAGTGGGCGGTGGCCTACTGTGTAAGGTCTGATTTACCGGCCGGCACAGCCTGTGGGTTTCCAATCCCAGGAGCCTGGCAGGGCCCAGAGACCACACAGACCTGATATAGAGATGGAACGACACAGTCTTTTTTATCTGGAGCTTTTCTCCTCCCCGCGCAGGCTCAAATATACTCTCCTTCGCAGTCTGAGGGTTGTACTTCATTAACTCGCTGTAGAGGAACCTACGTAAAGAAAGCCGGGTTAGAGGTCAGGCTTGATTCTGGGAGGGCAGTTGCTTCTCTAAGCTGACTTCCACCTGAGCCCCCAAAGGACAAGCTGGAA